TTTTATTAATAAATATATATTATAAAATAAGAATTTTTAAAATTAATGTAATTTATAATGTTATATGCTTTTTTTTTTTATATATTTTATAATATATATAAATTTTAAAATTAATTATTTTAAATTTAAAAAAAATATTAAAAAATACAAATATATTTATTTTTGTAAATATATATATATTTCTATATATATATATATATATATATATATATATATAAATATATATATATATATACATATACATATACATATATTATTTTTATCTATATTTTTTTTAATAGATGTTTTCTAAATTTATAGAAGACACATATTCTATATCTTATAAAACAGAATTTTTAAAATAAATTTATACTGAAAATAATCAAAACTTATTTTATTTTTTAAAAATGTAAAAAATTATTTAATCTTTTGTTCCTTTATAAAATTTCGATAAGAAATTTGATTTTTTAACAAATAATTTTATGTATTAAGCTATTGAAAAAGAACTTGTTAGTTAAATTTATTAATCTAAATTAAATTACTAAAATCCTCTTACAATAGATATAACTAAAGATTTAATAAAATATTTAAAATATATTGAATAAAATGATTAAGAAAATATTTAATATTCTATTAAAAAAAATTATAATTTATTTAATAAATTATAAAAAAATATGCTATTACCATTACCTGAAATTTAAAATATAGATAATTATTGTAAAATATAATAATTTAAAGAAGTATTAATAAATTAATAAAATTATAATAATGAATGTTTTGAAATAGACCCTTAAATTTCTTCAAATCCAAAAACTTTTATAAAAGAAGCATTTTTAGAATATGATTCATATTTAAATAGAAATTTTTAATACGAGTTTGAAAAACTGAATTTAAAATATCCTTACGAAGAAAATTAAAATGTAATAAAAAATAATATCTTAAATAATGCAAAGACAATTTAAAGAACATAAAGAATTTTTGACTAAAAACAATAATTTTAATTTTATAAACCATTAGTAAAAACTTAAAATAATTTTATAAATTAAAATATTTCTTATTATATGAAAAATATTGATTGTACTAAAATTATTAAAAAAGAAAATAAAAATATATACAATAATAATGTATAAGAAATTCCATATTTATAAATTACTAATCCTCCTAAAAAAAGATCTAAATCAAGAAATATATTCAAATGAAATATATTATAAATATATATATATATATATATATATATATTATATATATATATATTATTTATTATTTTTATTATATTTTATTTAATTTTATAAAAATATTTTATATTTTTAAATTATTAATAATTTTATTTTATCAATTTAAAATGTATTAATTTTCTGTTACTTTTTAAGTTCCATTATGAAGAGTATATACTTTTTTCTCAAAAACATATTTTATTCCATTAATTTCCTTAATATTTTTCTCAGTACTGGTTTTAACTGTACCCACAGGTTTTTCAGAATCAATCTTTTAATATAATAAATCTTTAGTATTAATATTTAATTTTTTTAGTTCTTTTTAAATATCAGGATCATCTAATCTATTATATGACTATTAAATATTATTTTAAGAATATCTTATATTATTTTAATTATTTTATGAAATTCCTATATTATTTTATGTAAAACCTATATTATTTTATGAATTCCCTAAATTTGTTGATATGTTTTAAGAATTTCTCATATTATTATTTAAAGTATTTGATATATATTAAGAATTTCTCATATTATTAGTTTAAAAATTTTATTAATTTTAAGAACTTTAAATATTATTATCATCTAAATATAATATATTAAGTGATTTTCTTAAATCTTGATTTTTAAAATTTTATTAAATTTCAAGTTTAGGAATATAACTACTACTTTTATTTATTATATAATTGCTTTCTTTATCAGTAATGTTGTTAAATATTTCACTATTTTTTATTAAAATTTTATGTGTATAAAACTATGCATAATTAATCACAGTACATACCTAAAATTATCTATGAAAAGCACAACCAACACCTACTTTTCTAAATTCATAAGAAAAAATATTCAGTCTATGACCTCTACTTTATACACCATCATCTATTAATAAATTAGAAATAATTTCTTATGCACTTTTAGCTCCAAATTCAATATTTTCACCTATTTTTCCTTACCATTCTCCATATTTCTCAATTCTTTAACTCATTTTAAATCCATTAGATCCAATATTACCTACTAAATCTATATATATATATATATACATTTATATATATATAAATTTATATATATATATATATATATATATATAATTTTATATATATTTTATTAAAATAAATACTGTTTAATCCTATATCAATTGCATGATCTTATGAAGCTATAGTCAAGTATTAATCATATTCAAATGGTTATAATTTTTATTATTATTTAAGAAATTTTATACATTCTATAACTGCAGATTTTCCTTCATTTGTTTTAACAGGAGTTTCTCCTGGTTTATTTAATATAAGATCATCAAAATATTATATAATATTTTCTAAATAAAGAATATAAGATAATGGGTTTTATCTTACTTTATTTAATTCTTCGTAAACTTATTTCGATAAAATATCTAATGGAATTTCTTATTACTAATTAAATGAATCTAACATATTTATATTTTTAAATACATTATTTTCATTTTATTTAGTTTAATTATTATTTTGTTAAAATGTAGAAGTTTAAACTTTATTATATTATTCACTAAAATTATTATTTTCTTCCTCTTCATTAAATTTCGGAGTATTATCAAATAATATAATACCATTAAGTTTTCCTCCATGTTAGGTATATTCAGTAGCATAATTAATAACTAAACATACCTAATATTCTATATGAGAAGCACTTGCTATACCTATTTTCTAATATTATTAGGCTAATATATTATTTCTATGTCCTCTATTAGGTACTCCATCATCTATCAAAAGAGTCAGTACGACATCTATTGCTTTTTTCTTTCCAAAAACTAATGCTTCACCTACTTTTCCTATCCAATCTCCATATCTTCCTAATCTATCTGTAAAATTAGAACCATCAGATCCTATATGATCAATTAACCCTTTATTTAAAAATACATTGTATTTTTTTATAATATTTTTTTTTTAAAAAAAAATACCTTTTGAACCAATATCATTTGCATGATCAGAACATGCTTTATACATATTATCATCCCATTCAAATGGTTATAAAGGTTTATATGATTTTAATATATTTAAACATTCATATATTGGGATTAAACCTTCTTCTGTTTCTAATGCATCCTCACCTGGCCTATAAAGGATTTTTCCTTTAAATTAAGATAACATTTGTTCTAAATGGTATATATAGGATGATGGGTTTTAACGTAATTTATTTAATTCTTAAAATACTTCTTAATGCAAATAATTCATGTTTTTTTTTGTTTTAATAAACTTTTTTTTTTTTATGTATAATATTTTTTTAATTATATAATATAGAAAAAAAAAAAAAAAAGTGTATATTATAATAGATTTTTATATATATAATAATAGACTAAGTAAATTATATATATTTTAAATATTTTTTTATATATAATTTAGAATTTATTTTTAATAAAATTTTGTGTTTGAATTTTATTATTTTATATATATATAAAAAAAAAAGATATATTAATTTTATTTATTACCCATAATATTTTTTTAAAAATATATAATTTATTTATTAAAAATATTAATTATTTTTATATTTAAAATCAAAAATAAATGATTGATAGCTAAGTCAGTTAAGATTTTAACGATTAATTAGAAAATTAAACTTATATATCAGACGACTCTATTAATTTTCACCAATTTGACTAAAAAATTGAACTTACATTCGAATAATTTAGATAATTTAATATATCTGAAATATAGATCTCTGTTTTAGCAATTGAATAAAAATTATTTAAATATAAAGTACTAAAGAGGAAAAAATAAAAAAATAAGCATATATATATATTATTTTTTAGCCTACTTTTTTTTTTTTTCTGTTATTTTTTTATTAAAAACTCAAACAAATAAATAAGACCTTAATAAAAATGGTTTATTTTATTAAAACAACAACAACAAAAATACAGAAAAATAATTTTTTTTAATTTAATAATATTTTTATTAAAAAGAAAAAATTAATAAAATTTTATATATTATTTTTATATTTAGACTTTTACAATTGAAGTTTAATTCCCTAATTTTCCAATATTTTATTGTTAAAGGAGATATTAAGAATTTTTAGCACTTTATTAATTGGTAATATATAAGAAATAAAATATATATTATTATAATATTTTTTGTATTTATTTAATAAAGTTAAAAAATAAATATAAAAACATAACCTTACCAGAGTTTCCTTCTAAATTTACAACCTTTAATAAAGATTAGAAAGAATTAATTCTTTTCATGATATTTTAAATAGTACTTTGAAAATTATTCCATAATAAGAAGCAAATAATAAAAAATATATACTTTCATCATTATATATATTTCTAACATAAGATTGTAAATAATAAATACTTGAAAATATTTTGTTTCCTATAAATATTATAAGTTATTTTATTTTATTTTAAAAAAAAAAAAGTTAATAAAAAGGTAAATGTAATAATATTGATTAAAGTGTTTGTCTAAATTCAAATTAAATTAATAAGCCCTCAGAATAAATAAATTTTTATAGTGGAAATTAACTATTACTAAAACCGAAACAAAAATATCAAGAATAAGATAATAATAATTAAAGTTTATTGAAAAATACACAAACATCTAAATCTTAAATATGTGATTAAGTTAATAGTCCTAATTAAAAATAATAAGATTAAAATTTTTAAGGATAAATGTTTAAATTATATGTTATAAATATAAATTGAATATATATCTTTTTTTTTTAAAAAAAAATAGTAATATAAGCTACGATGATATGACATATAATAAATATTATGGAAGAATAATAGAAAATACACTTTAACTATATAGTAATTTTTTAGTAAAAGAATAAATATATATATATATATAAATATATATATATATATATATATAAATAAAAAAAAAAAATTACTTATATTTATTTAGGATAATAGCTTTCAAGTATTAATTAGTTTATATGAATGTAAATTAGAGTTTAAAGATAATAATCTCAATAAAATAATTTTGTATCATGAATATGATTATAGCAAAGTTTATATAAATATAGATTCTAGTTAATTTAAAGAAATAGAAGAATAATAAATACAAATTTTAAAATTATTTAATTAATTAAAATTAGCTTCATAGAAAGTATATATTAAATTGATCTTAATTTTAAAAAAAATTATAATAAAAAAAGAAATTTAATATAAATTTAAATGATTTTGTATTTGAACCTATAGGAAAATTACATATTTTAGTTTAAAAAGTAAATAACATAATAGATGATACTAATTAATCTACTCTTGCAATAAGAATAAAAGCTAATCCTTTTATTTTTTAAACTAAAGAATGTTTATAAGATAAACCTAAATGGAAACAATAATTTATATTGTAATTATATATTAAATTTTTTAAATTATATATTAATATATTTAAATAAATAGCCCTTTTAGTTATTATTTTGGTATTATAAATTTTGAGTTACTTTACATAAATAATGAAGGATGGATAAAGGAAAATTATAAAGAAAAAGTAATATTTAAAACTTATTTGTAAATAGCTGATATATTTAGTAGAAATTAAAACAATACATTCGAAGTAAAATAAAAATAATATAATTATAAAAAATATATATATATATACATATATATATTTATATATATATATATATATTATATTTTAATACAAGAATTTATGTTTAAAAATGGAACCAACAGATTATGGATTAAAATATTTAAATAAAATAGGAATAAACTAAAACAATTAAATAGAACTTATAATTAATTTAACAAATAATTCTAAATTTGATAGTATTTTTGCTTAAAGTCCTTATAATTTTTTTGATGGAATAAAAATGGATATTTAAAAAAAGATATTCTAAGATATTCTAAAATTAATTTTACACGATACAAAAGAATCGCTGGAAATATATTTTTAACTTTATTAAAAATGGATGATATTAAATATTTTAAATATCCTAATTTTTCAAATTTAGTATATTCTATTTTTCTTATATATTTTTTATTTGCTGATTTAAATAATATATTATTACATATAATATTTTTCTTAATATTTATTGGAATAATAAATCTACCATAAATACAAGCTCACTTAGATTATTACTCTTATTAATATCTTTTTAATAAACTTCATTAAGACTATTAAGAGCCTAAAATATTTACTAAAAGGTAAAATGATTTCATAAAAATGTCTTAATGTATATAGAAAATAAAAAAAATAAACAATAATATTATTGTAGATGAATAAAAATTGCCTTTAGCCTAATAATATGAACATCTTAAAAAACAATTTTATTTAATTCATGAATTTATTAGTATTTTTGTAAATTATTGCGAAAAACTAAAAAATTTAATTTGTTGGAAAGACCCGAAACGGACTTAAAAATTCTACTCTTTTTTGATAATTTTTTATATTGTTTTTTAAAAAATTCCATTAAGGATTATCTTAGTCATAGGAATAATATTTAATTATTACTATGGAAATAAAGTTTATAAAAAAAGATAAATTATAAATAAAAATCAAGGAATGCATTTAATTAATTATGTCTATAAAAAATACTGGCCGGAATATAAATCTTGGGAATAAATTATGAATAAACATTTTCCTAATTAAAATATAAGAAAAATGGTATTTTTAAAAAATATTTTTTTTTTATAAAAAAAAAAAATATAAATTAAAATTTATAAAATAATTAGTTAATTGAAGAAGGATATAGACATTTTCTATTATGGATTAATGAAGAACAATTAGATATTTATAATACTCCTGAAAAATTAATGTAAGCTATAGCATCTTGTCCCAAAAAGTTATATATGAATAAGGCAGAAGGACCTCATTAATCAACTATTATTTATAAAGAATTTTAAGAAAATACTAAAATTAAATAATCTAAATATTTAACTTGTATTAAAATTTGGAAGAATTTCTTATTTAATATTCCAAGTGATTATTATAGAATCTTATATCCAAAATAAATATGAGATAAATAATGAATAATTTATTAAAGAAAAACAGAAATATATATATATATATATATATATATATATATATATAATAATATATAATATATATATATATATTATTTTATTTATTATATATTATA